TGGCAATCACCATTCTATTTTCTGTTTCTATGACTTTGACTATTCTAGTAACTTTATATGATGTAATCATACAGTCCTGTGACTGGCTTATTTTATTTAGCATAGTGTCCTCTAGCTTCATCTGTGTTGCAGTATGTGACAGGACTTCCTTCCTTTTAGTGGCTGAATAGTATTCTATTACATATGCATACCACATTTTGTTTTTTCCCTTCATCTGTTTTTCCATTCAACTTGGGTTGTTTCCACCGTTGGCTATTGTAAATAACGCTGCTATGCACCTAGGCATACAAATATTTCTTCAAGACCCTGTTTCCAATTTTTCTGAGTAAATATCCAGAAGTGGACTTGCTGGATCATATGGTAGTTCTATTTTTAATTTTGAGGAACTGCCATGCTGTTTTCCACAGTGACCGTACCATTTTATATTCCCACAAGCAATACACAAAGATTCTAATTAATACACATCCTCACCAACATTTTTTTCTTTAAAAAATTTTTTTAAATTGTATTCATTATACTATTACAGTTGTCCCATTTTTTTGTCCCCTTTATTCCCCTCCACCCTCCACCTCCCACCCTCAGTATCCCCCCAACCCCCGCTTAGTTCATGTCCATGGGTTGTATACATAAATTTTTGGCTTCTCCGTTTCCTATATTATTCTTAACGTCCCCCTGCCTATTTTGTACCTACTATTTATGCTGCTTATTCCCTGTACCTTTTCCCCCATTCTTCCCCCTCCCCATCCCTTCTGTTTTACTATTTATAGCTTTTGATCTTTTTCTTAGGTAAGTCCCTTTAACATTTCATACAGTAAGGACTTGGTGAAGATGAACTCCTTTAACTTGACCTTATCTGGGAAGCACTTTATCCTGTCCTTCCATTCTAAATGATGGTTTTGCTGGATAGAGTAATCTTGAATTGTAGGTCCTTGCTTTTCATGACTTTGAAAACTGCTTTCCAGCCCCTTCTTGCCTACAGGGGTTTCTTTTGAGAAATCAGTTGGTAATCTTATGGGAACTCCTTTGTACGTAACTGGTCTCCTTTGCTCTTGCTGCTGTTAAGATTCTCTCCTTATCTTTAATCTTGGATAATGTGACTATGTAACTATGAGGTGCCCTGGTGTGTCCTTCCTTGGGTCCAGCTTCTTTGGGACTCTGAGCTTCCTAGATCTTCTGGATGTCTATTTCCTTGGCCAGATTGGGGAAGTTCTCCTTCATTATTTTTTCAAATATAAGTTTTTTATTTCTCTGAAAAAGAAATAAGTTCTCAATTTCTTGCTTTTCCTCTTCTCCTTCTGGCACCCCTATGATTCAGATGTTGATCATTTAAAGTTGTCCTGGAGGTTCCTAAGCCTCTCCTCATTTTTTTGAATTCTTGTTTCTTCATTCTCTTCTGGTTGAATGTTGATCTCGTCCTTCTGCTCCCAATCATTCATATGAGTTCCAGTTTCCTTCCCTTTCCTGTTGATTCCCTGTATATTTTTCTTTGTTTCACTTTTTCCTCCATTTTGCAACCATACTCAACCAATTCAGTGAGCATCCAGATTACCAGTGTTTTGAACTATGCATCTGATAGGTTGGCTGACTGTTCATCATTTAGTTCTATTTTTGGAGCTTTGATCTGTTCTTTCATTTGGGCCATATTTCTTTGTCTCAGTGCTCCTGTTACATTGGAAGGGGCAGAGCCTTAGGTATTCGCCAGGGCAGGGCAACCCAGGTCACTGAGTTGTGATACTGTCTGTGGGGGAGGGGTCCAAGAGGGAACAGTGCCTCTTGCTCAGCCCTCAGCTGGCTTTCAATCACTTCTGCTGCTACTGACAAGCAAATCGGTACCTTCTAATGCTGATTCCTGGATGGTGGGTTTGTGTACATCCTAGGACCCCATGGTTCTCTCCAACGGACTCGCCTGTGAGGCTGGGAGTTTCTCCTGCTGCCGCAACTCCTACAGGTTTTTACCTCCAGAGGTTTTGAGGCTTTCTTTTCCTGTGCTGGAACCCTGGATTGCATGGTCTGTCTTGTTCCCCAGCTGTTTCTCCGGTTTATCCGCACGCAAATGTGGGACCACCGTGTCCACCAGTCACCGCCTCGCCGCCCAGTCCTCCTGCAGCTGCCTTGCCACGCGTCCTCTCTGCCTCGGCTGCCCATCTCTGTTCATCCTACTGGTCTGGATGGATGTTTCTTTAACTCCTTGGTTGTTGGACTTCCATAAAGTTTGATTTTCTGGCAGTTCTGGTTATTTTTTGTTTCTAAATTTGTTGTTTTTCTTTTGGTTGTGCGAGGAGGCAAATTATACCTACCTATGCCTCCATCTTGGCCGGAAGTAACACTTGTTGTTTTGTGTTTTTTTTTTTCCAAATTGTAGCCATTCTAATGCATGCGAGGCAGTGTCTCACTGTGGTTTCAGTTTTCATTTCCCTAATGATAGTGATGTTGAGCACCTTTCCGTGTATCTGTTGGCCATTGATACGTCTTCTCTGGAGAAATATCTATTCAAGTCCTTTGCCGTTTTTTAATGTGGTTGCTTGTTTGTTGTTTGGCTTCTGGATTTTCAGTAGAGGAGAGTTTGATGTGCACCCTCTAAGCTCCAAAAGGACGGGGCCGTTCCCACCTTGTTCATTGCCATCTCCTCAGTGCCCAGCATTGAATACGGTTTATCGGTTGATGATGAAACATGCATGTAGTTCTCAACAGTGAAGGAACAAAAAAATATATTACTTCACACATTCATTCTTGTTTCAGGAAGGATATAAGGCTATGGTCACAGCTCTGAAACCATGGCACTTGTGGTGAAGAATGGTAGGTGGCCCCAAATATGCTTGAAAATGGAAAATCCAGTCTTCACAGATGGTATTTCACTATTTTTGCGCTGTGCTTTTTAACTCCCATTTTGCCTAATAATGCTGGTCTTGATGATGAAACTTGGTATGTGTTTAGTAATTTAATAGTTTCAAAGTATGCTACCATCTAATTAATCTCCTTTGATCCTCCTTTCTGAAAGAAGCAGAGAAAATGTAATCAGAGCTTTACAGATGGACAGAGAAAGCAGAGGCTGAGCCCCACATCCATCTCGGCTCCCAAGGCCCGTGCCTGCTCCTCGGGCCCTCCGTGCCTGCCCCTCCCAGATCTCAGCCCCCTCGCAGGGGCAGTCACCCAGCCTTACGGTTCTCTATCCTGACAGCCCTGTCTGTCCCTCCAGCTCTCTCTCCTGCCCTGGTGGTTCCTTACCTGCATCATGGCGACAGCTCCCTATCTGGGGCCTTTACCTCCAGGTACGATGCTGTTCACTGCTGCCAGAGAAACTTTCCAAAAACCCAGATTCAATCATTTTCCTGTTGAATTTGCATTCTTCAGTGTTTCCACGTAGCCTTCAGGATAAAGCCCCCACCCTTTTACGGGGCACCCAGGCCGTTCACAGAAGCCTCATCATCTACGGTGGCACCCTCCCCCGTTCCTGTAGGTTTCCAGCCTCATTCCCCACATCCTTTGCCAATGCCATCTCCTCTGCCCGTCGGCCTCCGATGCACCCCCGCCCCCCCATCACCACCTGACCACCCCTACTCATTCCTGCCTTTCCTGTTCACCCTCACCTGCTACCTGGCCACCTCCACCCCAGCTGAGTCAGGCCCTCGCCTGCCTTGGCTCCCTGTGTTGCTTGTTTACCTCTCGGTACCCCGTGCCTGTCCGTGTGTAACGGTACATTCGTCAGTCTCCTTCGGGTCTGCACTCTGAAGCCAGGACGGTGTCTTCTATCCATATTTCAGCTGTTAACACAGTGCCTCTTACAGAGTAGGTCTTTCGGGAAAGGCGGAGGGAGAGGAAGAAGGAAGTTTGTCTGATTTCAGAGTTCATGTTCTCCCTGTCCTCGCCATCCCCCGCACCCCCTCGTCACCGCCCACTGTCACGTTCTCCCAGTCCAGGGTGGCTGATGCTGTGTGGTGACCCTAAGGGAATTGGGTCTGCTTTGTTCCGTGGCCACCCCGAAACTCACCCACCTTCTGGTAACTGCATCTCAGCAGAGATGACTCATGCATGTGACTCAGTGCGAATGCAGGCGCTGCTGGAAAGATGGTCAAGCATGTGCTGGCGGGAGGGGACTTACCAGGCAGCAGAAATCCAGACCCAAGTTCACAGACTCCTGCAGCCCTGCAGCCTGCCTACTCACGCGCAGGTGTAAATCCTGTCCGTGGAGAAGGAGACTGTACTAGACAAGCTTTATAAGACTTACATATTCAGGATTCTGATTGGTTACTATTAAATAATATTTTCATAAACTACTATTTATTGCATGCTTACCACGGTTATAGGCACTGTGATAAACACCTTGCCTACGAATTATCTCATTCTCACACTAATGTAATTCTCCCAGTATCAACAACAAAAACAGCAGCTACGTATATAGCAGTTACTTTGCTACGGATACTAATCTAAGCACTTAACATTAAGTTGTTTAATTCTCACAATAACCGTAAGATACAGAAACTGCTGTTATCCTTATTTTTACAGATGAGGAAACTGAGGCACAGAAAGGCCACACATTAGAGGTACCCCAAAGTCACATAGGAAGTAAGTGACAGGTGTGATACCAGTGCAGACTTCTGAGTCCGTGCTCTTAACCCCTGTGCTATGCATCCTTGATGAAGTGTAACTGCGTTTTACAGGGAGGAAACTGCACCTCAGAGAGGTTGTCACTTCTGCTTAGTCACACAGCCAGGCAGTGATCCAGCTCCTGGCTTGTGACCATAGTGCTCTCCTGCCCAGACTCAGGAGACGGAGCCCTCACAAACTGGGGTCTGCTTCGTTCCCCCGAGCCCTCCCCACGGGCACTTTGCCAGGGTCACGTCCAGAGGCAGGATGCCAGGGAAGAAACTTTCTTCTGAGGCTAGGGTTTACAGCGAAGCGGGGCACTGGGGGCACATTCTCCTTCAGGTCTCCTTTCAGCTTGGGGTTCCAGAGCGTTTCCTCACCCAGGGATGCTGACGTGGCTCTTGTTACCTCCTCAGACAGCGAGACCGTGCACTACCACTATGGGCCGAAGGACCTGGTCACAATCTTGTTCTACATCTTCATCACCATCATCTTGCACGCTGTGGTTCAGGAGTACATTTTAGATGTAAGTGATGTGTCCAGGTTCTGAAATCAGAAACTGGGGAGGTGCCTTGGGGTGCAGGCGCTCACGCTGGAGGAGCTCTGAACCTCTTCACCCCTGATTTTTGTGGCCCAGTTGGTCCTGATGACTAGTTGTCTTCTCACCACGCTTGGGTCTCTGACCCTGTCCCAGGCTTCTTGAGCCGGCACACAAGACAGCAGCATTTATTACACGGGAGAGAGCTGTCTGAACTATGACAGGACAGCATCTGTATGGTCTGTTGTACGTGGTTTGGTTGGAGGGTGTGTTTATACCTAGGCTGAGGGCATTAATCTTACTGCTTTCTCAAAATGCTTGCTTTAGACTAAGCACTATATGCACACAATAGGCTTACACTAGATAACTTGGATTGCAGCTGGCTTCAGACTTCGGCCTTTTCGTGGGAAGAAACAGGACTTTGAAACTTGCCCGCTTGTTACCACTACACTGGTATATTAATATGTGGGATTCTCTTTATTCTTTAGAAAATCAGCAAACGGCTTCATCTCTCTAAGGTCAAACACAGCAAGTTCAACGAATCTGGACAGCTGGTTGTCTTTCATCTCAGCTCGGTGATATGGTGCTTCTACGTGGTGGTGACGGTGAGTGGTCCTTGCGCCCCTTCTAGGATTGCTAATAAGATAACTGCTAAGGGCTTAGCGGGGGAGGAGAAGAATAAGGAGCAGTATGGAAACTTGGGGGGCCATTTCTTAGCACTGAGGCTATTTTTACATCTTCGTGGTATTGTAAGAGGGAGGTCAAATAATATAAATGCCATTTTATAGCTGGAGAGAGTCATCTTGTCTAAAAATAAACACTTGTAGTTATTATATGAGGTTACTGTAATGGTACTGTATAGCTAGATAGCACTGTATCATTTCACAGTGCCCTCCTACAAACACGCTGCCATGAGACCAGTCTGTGCTCCGTCGGGTGCCCGTGTTGGATGGTAGAAACCCCAGCTCAAGTTTCCAAGTGCGCCCACCGGCACTTTCAGAGTAGCAAGGATGGGCTTGGACTGGGAACCTGGCTCCGAGTCCAGGGTGCTTTCTGGTTTTTATTGGCTTCCTGCCAGCAAGGCCAGCATCCCCCTGTCCACGCACATCGAATCCTGTGAGTCAGTGCCGTTCCCACAGCTGCGTGGCGGACCAGACAAGTTATCTACCTCCCGTTCTACACAATAGGACTCTTATTTCAAGCAACCTTTGATACAGCAGAATTCCTTCGAACAAAGGAATGTGGACAGTCCTTTGGGGTTCACTGTAACAAGACCCGGTCTGTCCCTGCTAGGAAGTGTTTAATTAGCATTCCCCTTCCCACCCCCCTCCCCAACCTGGAGCACCACGTGCCTGGACCTGGTCTCTTTCTCAGGAGCTAGAATTGTCCTATGAGAAATCCAGGCCTGGGATTGGAAAACTCAGCAGCCCTGTGACCTTTCAGAAATTTCCTTCTCTGCCTCCGCCTTCCTCTTCTTCCTTCAGTGACAGTGATGAACTCTAACATCCTAAGGAACTCTTTGCCTCCAGAGATGAACATTCAATTCATATTCTCAAAGAGGTCGGCGTGTTCTTTCGTACATTGCTTTTATTTCCATTATCATTTAATCCCAGAACATTTATCCTAAACAGAACGCTAGGAATTTTAAATGCAGGACCTAAGATGTCTGTCTTCCCAAGCAGGGCTGTCCTGGTACCCTGTACCGGGGGCGGACGTACAGGTGGTTGTGTGAGTAGCGCCCCCTGATGTTGTGCAGCGCACATCCTGGTCTAGCAAGTCTAGGTACTTCTGGGTTTCAGACCTGTCCCCAGCAATTGGTATTTGGCTCATGCCTGCCTCTAGAGACCCTGAGCTGCTCTGAGGCAGAACAGCCTCAGAGACCACATTTAACTGGTTTTTCAGCAAAGCATTGCCTCATCTCTGAATGAATCACTTTTACCCTTCCTACCTCACCCTCAGACGCTCCACACAGCTGTGACACATTTAGACCAGATTGGAGGCCAACAGCCAAGTTACTTACCGCCCCTTCCAGAGTGTGAAATGCTCAACTGCTCTGTCTTTGCTTCTCTCAGCCTTCAGGGGCTTGAAAATGATGATGCTAATTAGTCTGGGAGAATGTAGCACTTTTAGGGGGAACCTTATAACAGGCTCTTATTATGGTGACAGCCAGCTCCCCACTCAGCATCTTCCACAGGAAATGGAGACCACGGGGACCCTGGAAAGCCCCAGTGACCCCGCCTCCTAACACCGTGTCGCTCCTGGCTCTCACCTACCCCATCTGTACCACTCTGCATGGAATGAAAGTGCAGTTTTGTAAAAGGAGTGAAAACGGCTCAGTTTTTTTAAATCATATTTTTATGTTACGATGCACATTTTCCTTGATTCCTCTCTTTCTTTCACCTTCTACAGTCAGTTCATCAGCAGATCCTGCCCCCAGAACACATCGGGGCTCTTTGGGCTGCTCCCCACCTGCACCGCCCCGCCCCGCCCAGCCCAGCAGTTCTCCAGGGGAGGTTCTGCCCCCAGGGTGCATTTGGCAGTCTGCCACTGGCATCTGGTGGGTGGGGCCGGGGTGCTGCTGACATCACACCGTGCACGGGACAGTCCCCACAACAAAGAAGTATCTGGTTCCCAGTGTCAGTAGCGCCAAGGTGGAGGAACCCGGTCTGCAACCCAAGCCACCGCCTCTTGCCTGGATCATTGTGCACCTTCCTTCTAGATCAGCAGGCTGTGTCCTCTCCTGGCCTCTCCTACCCCAGTCCATTTTCTGCTCAGCCGGGCAGATCTTTTTAGAATGTAAATCAAATCATGTATTTTTCGGCTTAAATGCCCCCTCCCACTTGCAGTGAAATCGTTTCCTTGCTGACTGTTGTGCTCTGGGCCCTGCCGCTTTGCCCCTCCCATCTCGCCGCCCCTCCCATCTCGCCGGTCCCTGCTGGCCCATTGCCCCTGGGCCCCTCCCACTCTCCTGGGCACTCCTGCCTCCCGGACTTTGCTCCTGGTTCTTCTGATCAATGCTCCATCCCCTGGCATCCCACAGCAGGCAGCTCCTCTTTGCTCTCCAGGTCTCCACCTCAATGTCACCTCCTCAGAGGCCACCCCTCCCCCCGCCCCAATTTGTATTTTCTGGACTATGCTCATTGCTCTGGTGTTTTTCTTGTTCATGTGTGTATTCTCTGCTGTCTGTTTCTCCCACTGGACCCTGCTCTGCTCACTAAATATTTGTTATGAGAATGAATGAACTATAAAATGCGTCTTCTTGCTCCAACTTTGAACCGTTTTTAAAGTAATGGGTTGTTTTTATAAACATCATGGATGATCATTTTTTAAAAAATAAGCAATACATGAAAGTTGAAAAAAGAAAGCAAAAAAGTTACCCCAAATCCCTTCTTCCAGAAATAACCAGTTTTATTTTGGTGTTTGATGTAGATGTTTCTCTCTGCATTTAGACAGGCAGAGTGATGGGAGTGTGGCTGCAACCAGCAATGTTATAAGAATGTCAACCTCATACTTTTTAAAATTTACCTTTGAACTGCTGTTCATTGCCTAGGACCAATCTCTCCTCCCCTCTCCCCCCCCCCCCCCCCCGAGGAGCAGGGTGGTAGACATTTGGTCCTGCTGCCTGACTTCATATTTTAAAACCTCAATCCAGTGCCCAATGAGAACCTGGTAGAGGGAACACCTTTCACGCTGGCGTTTGGGTCAGGGCTAATTTCTGCTATTTGCTTAGGGGTAGCACTTTAGTATGTGCTTGTTCCTGAAGGATAAATGTTATAAGGTATATCTGAATTAGGTAGCAACTGGTGGTGTTGTGACTGGCTTCTGCTATTTCTGTGGTTCTTTTTGTTCTTACCCCAAAAGGGAAGGGTGCCCGGGAAAAAGGGAGAGATTGTTCCAGCGTGCTCAGGCCTTGCTTAGCTCATAGGTTGACCTGTAGACCCAGAAGAGGACAAAGGATTCCAAAAGCTCCCCAGACCCTCTGCCGGGGCCTGTTGGTGGTGGGATTCGGGGTCGGCTGTAGACGCTCCCTCTCCCGCACTCGTCCCCCGGGCCCTGGGGTCCTTGGCACGCCTGAGCTTGGAGGTCGTCCTAACCCCAGGCCCACCTCAGGCGGCTGCCTGGCCCGAGGTCTGGAAAAGGCTGTTCCCAGGGCGGTGAGTCATTTGTCCTCTGGCTCCCCCCGCTCTCCTCCCCCACCTCCTGCACAGTCCCCGAGGACTGGACATTCGCAAGCAGGCAGCATTTTTCTCTGCTTGTTGGCTTCAAAGTTCTGACCTCCTTGTCTCCTCAGTAAAGGGGCCAGCCGGGCCGAGTAGGTTCCTGTTTAAAATCACAAGGTCGGCTGGGCTTTCATTTCTCTGTGCTGCCTTCTGGGCCGGTCTATTTTGGGGTAGAAATGGCTTTCCCACCTCAATACCAGAAGTACCATTTCCCTCCTTAACTACTTACACTGCTGCTTTCTCTGGAAAGGAACATTCTCACCTCTGTGATTCCCGTGGAACAAGGTAGAGAGTGGAAGACCGTGTTTTGCTGTGGCCCAGGGCCGACGTTTTGGTCAAGGCAGGCGAGCAAATGGCAGGGGTGGATAGCAGCCTCGTGGGTGTGAGAGAGTGTTCCTCTCCCCGCCACAGTGCCCCAGAACCTCCCACCCCTGTGCCCCAGTCTGTGTGTGGTGACCGAGGGAAAACGGGCGGCGGCAGTGAGAAGAGGCTAGAAACGAAGCTATGAGGGTTTGGGGTAAGACCGGTTCATTCACATCGAAGCCACCATGGCTTCACTGGTGCACGTGCCTGATTGGACTTATCTGGTCATTGTGCTAAGGAGGCCCCAAGCTGGGGGAGTGGGACTGAGGAATCTACCCATAATGTCCCGGGGCATTTAGTACCACCAAGGTGGGCAGACCATCCCTCACTTGGAAATCACCTGAGGATCCAATGGACGGTAGGTAACCTGGGGTGCTTCTCATTACAGCCTGTTGGCCTCCTTTCCCTCCTGAGCACCGCTCAGTCCCAGTGTGAACATGCGAGGCTCTCAAGCTCCTCATGGGAGCCACCAGCTCCGTTTATTTCCTGCCTTCCTGAAGCAGCTGGGCCTGAGGCTGTCGGACCAGGAGTCTGGTGGCCCGGCTCAGATTTTAGCTGGGTTGCCGAAAAACCATCTCGTATGTCCCGATGGTGTCACTGGCCCACAGCCCTCTTCACACTGCCGGTCCGTGGACCACACAGGTGGTATAAATTGAGCTCCAGACCCATGTGAGAGCAAACCTCAGGCAATGAATTTTCAAAGGATAATATTTTTGTGTTCATCCTTAGCCCAGGATGGGCAGACATCTTCATCATCTCCCTGGGGTGGTCATCAGGCTCTTTCTAGTCTACTCTTTCTCTAAGGTGGTAGCCTTTTAAGGGTCCTAATTTTACACATGGGTCTCGGGCCCCACCTCCCAAGGTACCATCTCCTGTCGGTACCCTGGGCAGCCACGTGGGCATGAGCGCCCCGGCCACCTTACTGCTGTGACTCTCAGCTCCTTATTCTTTTTGGGGTCCCAGGGTATTTTTATTTCTTATAACGAGCTCAACTTTGCATTTAAAAGAATACTTGCTAGATTTCATCCGTCATTTCGGTATGTTTTGTGATGGAAGGTGTTTTGGGTTGCACTCCCTACTCTGTAAGAGGCCCTGGGTGTCCATTCGACATGAGGCCCTGGGCGAGATGCCAGAGATTTAAAGAAGGGCCGGAGAAGACCACAGGCTGTGGAGCTTGCAGAGAAATGGAGGCGACTGGCCACAGTGACACGGGGTAATAAGTGTCACACTGGCGAGGCCTATGGGGTGATGTGAAAAGCCAAACTGGGCTTATTTTTGTAGTGGACGGTGATTCTGAAGTCCATTTGCTTATTCATTCTACAAGCATTTCCTGAGTGCCACATGCCAGGCATAATACTAGACCCTGCCGCATAAGCATAAACTGTCATATTCATTTCTAACAGTAACTCTGGGAGGGTATTTGTATTCTCATTTTATGGACGAGCCAGCCACAGCGGAGGGACTGACTTGCTCGGAGGATGGATGCAGCCAGGACGGGCCGGGCCCACTCTCCGACGCAGGTCTCTGACCCCGCGGAGCTCCGCCTGCTCTGTCCCAGCAGAGGGCCCACCGAGTGCCAGCAGGCCCCACGTGGAGAGGCCCTCCATGTCACGTTTCCTGTTCTTTCCTCTTCCTGGAAGCTAGGGATTGGATGCTTCCCTGACCCCTGACTGCTGACATTTCTGAATACTGTCTCTTCTTGCCTACTCCAGGAAGGATATTTAACAAACCCGAGAAGCCTCTGGGAAGACTACCCACATGTGTACCTCCCGTGAGTATTCTCGTGACTTGGTCTCCAGGGAGGAGCCAGCTGGCCCTCTGGCTTCCTCCTCCCGGAATGTGTCCACATCACCACGGAGCCGGCTGGCGTGAGGACCAGTCAGATCCCGAGCCTGTTAGGGCACAGTCTTGTGGAAGACAGACTTATCTGCGTGCTTCTTCCTCCCAGTCTGCTGGACCGGAGAATCCCAGAGTGGAGTATTGTGTGCACCAGCCCCTGTCTCAGACATGGCGTCTTAGCTTGGGCGGCTGTAGCAGACGGAGCACCACAGACTGGGTGGGGTGTGAATAACAGGAATGCGTTTCTCACAGTTCTGGAGGCTGTGACGGCTAAGATCAAGGTGCCCGCAGTTTCAGTGCCTGATGGCCCGCTTCCTGTTCATAGACAGCATCCCTCCCTCCAGGTCCCCACAAGGCAGAAGCAGAGAGGGAGCTCTCTGAGGCCCCTTTTACAAGGGCATCAATCCCACTCACGAGGGCTCTGCGCCCATGGCCAGGCTGTCTTCTGTAGGCCCCACCTCCTGATACCATCACGCTGATTAGGGTGTCAGCGTATGAATTCTGAGGGGATTCAGACATTCAGTCTGCAGCAGGTTCTTAAACCATGTGAGACACAAGAACAGGGCACCTCCATATAGTTCTCTGGGTTTGGGCTTCTGGTGATCCACTCCTGTTCACAGCACGTCTTCCCTTCTGACCTTTCCTGGCTGGTGCCCCATCAGAGGCAGCGTCCCTGTCCCCTCCTGCTCCGGATGGGACACAGGAGGGCAGCAGCCAGGCCCTGTCCCTCAGGAGGCCACTCCTTGCTTTTCCAAAGACCCATAACAAGAGAGGACTTGAGCTGAGTTAGGTCCTTCCTTTGCTACTGAGGTCCATTCATTAAGTGTATTCCCGCCACCCTCTTCTCTACTGACAGTTCTCCAGAATCAGCTCCCTCCTCAGCCTTTCCTCCTCCAGGCTGAAGACGCTCCTCCTTTGCACTCTTTTCACCATTTCTACTTCTCTCAGTGGACCTTCTGTGTCCCTCTAAGTGGTCTTGGCTGTGGAGCTGGGTCCCCAGGCTTAGGAGCATGGTGCTGCTGACCTCCCTCCCTCCCCGCTCCTGGGCCGGCTCCTCGTGCCGTCCTGGCCCTCGCCGACCCCACCGGGCCGTTCTTCTCCATCCATCCCATGTGACTTGCTCCCTTATCTCCAGCTTCCAGGTGAAGTTCTTCTACCTGTGCCAGCTGGCCTACTGGCTGCACGCACTTCCGGAGCTATACTTCCAGAAGGTACGGAAGGTGAGTACTCCCTTCCCCCTCTTGAAGCCATGCATGCTCCCCTCCCCCTTGGTGTTCCAGCTGGTCCTGCCCCTTCCTTTAGAAGCCCAGAGCGCTGGGTCGGGTTGAGAAAATGCCAAGTCAGCCACTGGTGAAGTCCCCAGGAAGACCTCCGTGAGAGTAGGCCACCAGCGTCAGTCTCTTGCCTGCCTCCCACGTTTAACATGTACTTGGCTTTGGGGGAAACCTAAGTCTCATCTTCTGGATGGCAGATGGAGAGGGTCATGCCTTTCCCACAGTCTTTTTTTTTTTTTTATAGCTTCCCTCTGAATTATTTCCAGAGCCCTGTCCCCCAGTCCCTGTCCCTTCTTTCTCAACCGAGCCCCACCCTCTGACTTCAGACCTGAAGCTGCCGCCTTGCCCTCAGACTTCTCAGCAGCCTGGTGCATGGCCCTCTAGCGTGACCTGGGACCGGCTGTGTTAAAGCACCAGCCCCATGTCCGCGGGGGAGGTGGCCTGGCCCTCCCCCAGCCCTCTGTACTTCCCCTCCGTCCCTGCTCCTGCAGTCACGGAGCGCGCGCCCTCACTGTCCGCTCCTCTTGTTTGCAGGAGGAAATTCCCCGCCAGCTCCAGTACATTTGCCTGTACCTGGTCCACATAGCTGGAGCATACCTCCTCAAGTGAGTGACACCGGGCCGGCCCTCTTGTTCGCACATCTCTGCACACATCCACTCAATTAGCCGGCATTTATGAGATGCCTCCTGTGTGCTAAGACCTGGGAATACAGAGAGAGATGGTAGAAAATTCCTTTGTCTTCAGTGGAGTGTTCGCAGCCTGCTAGGAGGGACAGTTATACACACAGGAGGAGGATGGTGTAGTGTTAAGCACTGCGCTACAATGTGTGCCATCTGTCAGGGGGACCCGGAAGAGTGACCACTGCAGCCGAGACAGCAGGGAAGGCTGGCCAGAGTTGGCACTTGGTCTGTGGCTCTGCAGGTGGGGGGCTGGGCCCCTCCCTCATGTGTCCAGCGGCAGGAGCTGCCAGGGCGCACGGCCCTGGAACCCCTGTCCCTTTGATTTGTAACAAGAAACGGTTGTTCAGAAATTGAAAGAGTTGCTATGGTGTTTGGCCTTGAGTGTCTCTTATGAAAAGATTCATATTGAGGAACAGGGTATGTCATTGCTAATTTGGGTTTTTCTTGAGCGTTATCCATGCAGTACAGGGGAACACCCAGGACTTTCTCTAAGCTGGCACTTTGAGAACTTGTGACGTGTGACTTGGTGATGTGTAATCTGCGAAGCCACCCGGAGCTCCCGGGGCCCCTCCTCTCCTGGGCCCTCGCCGCAGGCATCCAGTGAGGATGGTGGGCTCGGGTGAGTGAGGCAGCAGGAGGCTCTCACGTCCGTTCTCCTGTTTTGCGAGGCTTCCAACCGTAAGGGTTCCTGGATGGGCCTTAGGGGGCGAAGGCCATGTGGTGAGGGCGGCTCTGCTCTTGTGTTGGATGCTCATGTGTCACATGCAAAATGGGTCTGGGGAAGCCAGGCTGTGCCGCACCCCCCAACAGAGTGTGATGAGGACGGGGTGAGAAGGCACTGGCAGGACCACGTAGGGGAGCTTCCTGCTGGTCTCAGGTCGCCTCTTGCCTCTGAGGATGCGAGGTGCTCCCAGATCCATTTTTCTCTGCATGTGTATCTCCCAAGGAAGGATAAGGCAGGTGTCTGACCCTGTTTGCCCCAAGTCCTTTGAATTCTTGTTTTGGAATGAGAAGAGGACAGGGAGGGCAGGTAGCAACAGACCCTCCAAAGCCATGCCCATCCTGTTCCCAGAGAGGCTGGCACCGGGTCAAGGTGCAGCTGCCTCTCTCCGCTCATTTAGGGAATGCGTGCTCTTTACCCCTCCGTCCTTCTAATTTTTTGAAGTGAGTGTGGGGAGAGGAGAGGCCCTTGGCTGCGGGATTTCCCAAGGAAGATAGACCTTTGAAATGCCGAATAGTGCGGGGTCTCATTTTGGTGAAGAGCTTGGCTTTTGAAGGCCTTTGCTCACTCAACAGAGACGTGAGCCCTCCCATGGAACGGGCGCTGCTTCAGGCTGCAGTTACATCTGGGTGAAAGCAGACAGGTCCTGTCCTCCTGGGGTATCTGTTCTAGCAGGAGGCAAACCACAGACAAGAGAATAAATAGAGTTTCCTGTGGCGGTAAGTGCGATAAAGAAAATAAAGCAGGGCAGTGTCACAGAGCGATGGGTGCACTTGGCACCTTTGGTGTGTGAGGGCAAAGCCTCTCTGAGGAGGTGATTCAGGTGGAGACATGAATGACAAGAGCCAAGTACGTGGAGACCTTGGGGGAGAGCTGTACAGGCAGAGGGAGCAGCAGGTGCACAGCCCTGAGGTGGGAGTGAGCCTAAAGCCCAGTGTGGCTGGAATGCAGAAAATGAGGCCTGAGACAAGGTCATGGGCAAGATCGTGGTGGACTTTCTAGGCCACGTGAAGACACTGGGGAGTTTTCACATTATTCTCTTAACCATTCTCGAGATCCAGTGATCATCGTGATTGATTTTGCACTTCTTTGGTCTCATTGGGTAGAAATGGCTGGATCGTTCTCTGTCACTACATGTGGGAGGGCCTCCACGTTACCTCAGTGACGTCCTGACGCCCTGCAAATTCAGCAGGATCTTTAATCTCTCTTTGTGTTTGCATGACAGCTGGCTATCTGCAGCAAACTGCTTAAGAAAGTCAGTAACAACATCATGCCTGGAATTAAGCAGAGAGTATGTCTGAGTGGATACTATTTTTTAAGAGTTCGGTTCACTAGTGTAGATTTTTGCATTATGTTGAGTTTCGCTTCGCTGTGTGCCTCTGAGCTGTGAAGACTTGGCTAATGAAAAATTAGACGGCAGGAATCCCTGGTTCTCCCTGGAGAGCCCAGCAACTTGCTCTGAGCACCTTGTATTGCTTCAGCCCTGGCCAGATGATGAGTGCTATGAAGAGCCTCGACTGGGGCCACTGTGGGAGCAGTAAGGGTGCCTGACCCAGACCGGATGGGAGAAAGGCCGGGGGTTCAGTGTTAGGAAAAATTCCTGAGGTGTGACAGCAAAACTGAATCCTAAAGGATTAGGCAGGGCCAGCCAGGGAGTGGAGTGGAGAGCAGAGCCCAGGGCGTTGGGCCCCTCGGGTCTGCTCTCCGTGGACTTGGGGGACTGTGGGGCGCGTCTCTTCCCGCAGCCTGAGCCGCCTGGGCCTCATCCTGCTGCTGCTGCAGTACTCCACCGAGTTCCTCTTCCACATGGCCCGACTCTTCTACTTTGCAGACGAGAACAATGAGAAGCTGTAAGTGCTGAGGCTGGGAGGCTGGCCTGCTCAGAGGTGCAGCAGGCAGGGGTGTCCTCTGATGGGAGGGTCCTGCCCTGGGTGTCAGCTGCCCCCCCGCCCCCACCACCTGCAGGCTGCGCCAAAGGTTCCGTTTTTCCTGGAGCATCTTATTCTAGATACCTTATCCCTCAGCCGCCCTTGATCCTTCTTCCCACTTGGGATCAGCCCTGGAGAAGCAGGTGAAGGTTCCTCGTGGGCCTAAAGGTTGATGTTCCTTTTCTGCCTCTGCGAGCAGGTTTAACGCCTGGGCTGCTGTCTTTGGGGTCACGCGCCTCTTCATCCTCACCCTTGCCGTGCTGGCCATCGGCTTTGGACTTGCTCGCATGGAAAACCAAGCTTTTGACCCCGAGAAAGGGAACTTCAACACCTTACTTAGCAGGTGAGCTGGGCAGAAGCGCAAGGCAATAAATCAGGGCTCCCAGGGAGCTACCAAGACCTCCTGAACTTGGCCCAACTTATGCAGAAAGTCAGGAGGCAGTAAACACCTGGGCCTCCTGTGTGCTGATATTTACGGGAACCCCTGGACATTAGGCCTGAGGGGAGAAGAGTTACCAGTCTTCTTTCTCCATCAAAACCATCCTCAGCTCCCAGCCCAGGCCCAAAAAGGAGAGCCAGGGCCTCAGTCCACATGGCAGTCCCCTCGCCTTTGTGGTGCTCAGTAGGTTTCTCACCCCGCCTTGCCAGTGATCATTACAGTTCCGCTTGGACTCTTTACAGCCACATTCTCAACAGGTTGACCAGTGGCCTCCCATAGCAGTGAGGAAGGCAATGAGGAAGCCATTGTGTTTCCATGAGACCCTAGGTCCTGAGAAGGTGTGTGACTGGTCCAGGGTGGCACAGCTTTTAAGTGCCATGCTAGATGAGAAGCCTGATAGAATTATTTGTGCTGTCTATGGTTCAGTTCACTTGAATTCTAGTATACATGGAGCTGACATGAGCCGTATTTTGTGCTGTGGAGGGTACAGAAGGGCCAGGCTGAGGGCCCCAGCCGGCACGGGGACAGTGTGATTGTGGAGCGGGATGTACGTCTGTTGACAGTCCCCTGGGCCTGGTCCCTCCGTCACCCCCCTGAAGTGTGCTAGAGCAGAGGTGGGCCCTGGGCCCTGTGCTCTTCCTGGTGGTGGCGGCGTGGTGGGGCTGTGCTGGGGCTGGAGGGGATGTGCCATGGGATGGGCAGGGTTCCAGACCCCAGAACTCCCCACTCTGCCCCTCTGCAGGCTCTGTGTGCTGCTGCTGGTGTGTGCTGCCCAGGCCTGGCTCATGTGGCGCTTCATCCACTCCCAGCTGCGGCACTGGCGGGAATACTGGAATGAGCAGAGCGCCAAGCGGAGGGTCCCAGCTGCCCCTAGACCACCATCAAGGCTCATCAAGAGGGAATCTGGTGAGTGCCAGGGCCTTGGGCAGGCCGAGGCGGAGTCTGCCTGGGGCGGGGGAGGAGTCAGGGCTGGGCTCCTCGGGCTCTTCCCAGACCAGTCCTGCGGCCCTCCGGCCCTCCCTCTGGACTCCTTCCCTGGGCCTGGGGCTCTCTGGCTCCTGCCAGGGCCTGACTGGCACGTGGCTGGGTGTGGGCCAGGGACAGACTGTGGGCGGGGCTGGCCCTGACTCGGCGGGTGCTCTCTGGCAGTGGTGGGGCAGGGCAGTGGCTGGGTGGGGAACGCTTGGCAGGAAGCGTGTCCTCAGGGTGGCTTCTGGACCCCGGCCAAGTTCTGCGCCTGTTCTCTGGGCTGCACAGCTGCTCTGTCCTCACCTGCCCTCTGCTCTCTCTGCATCGCGGCCGCCCCGCCTCCCAGGCTGCTGGCTCCACTTCTGTCTGCAGGAATGACTCGCCAGCACAGGGGTGGGTGGCGGGCGGGGACGCCCCCCTCTCTGGCCCCCACCACACCTCAGTAACCACCCACGCGCTCTGGGTCCCCGGGCACTACCAGCCCTGCGCCTGCTGCCCAGCCTGGGGGCCTGTCTGCACCAGGATGTGTTCTGACTCACCTGCCCTTCTCCAGGTGTGGCCTGCTTGGCAAAGGCTCATGTGTGTTAGGACCAGACACGTGTGCGGCTGGGTGTGTAGAGGAGCCAGGCCTGGCTGCGGTGGGTATGGGGCAGGAGGTGGCAGCCAGACGTGCCTCTGTGACTTGAAGCAAGCACATAGGCATGTTTCTGACAAAAACAAAAAGATTTCTTTTCTGCCCTAATTTTTCTGCCAGAGTAGTGTCGGGCATCTGAGGAAAGCCTTGTCCCTCCAGCCTCTCTACCCGTCCCCTCAGTTGTCACCTTCCTGCGAGTTGTTGCTAAAGTGGGTGGCAGCCCTTCAGGGGGTCTGAAAGAAACTGAGGACACTGGCAGCGGCTGAGTGACCGCAGCGAGGACCTGACCGCAGCCTCAGGCCTGGGCGGCAGGCCTCTCCTGTTGCGGGTCACTGTGTCATCCCAGCCCCTCCCACCAAAGGACGGTCCGGGACCAACACCTCAAACGGAGCCAGTGGGAGACGCCCCTGGGGGAAGCAGGAGCCCCCGGGGGCTGCAGCTGGGCCGGGCCGCCTGGGCCCCCACCCTCCACCCCTGCTCCGGTCCCAGCAGAAATGCCACGTCTGTCTGTCTCCCTTTCCTTCCTAGGTTACCATGAAAATGGAGTGGTGAAAGCAGAGAATGGAACCTCCCCACGGACTAAGAAACTCAAGTCTCCTTAAGGCCAAAGTGCTGAGAACAGGAATCCTCTTGGGGGGCCCAGCAGGGCAGCGGGGGGCCCAGGCCTCCGTCACTGCCTCCCCTTCCTGCTCATGACGCTCCATCGCAAACAGCAGGAACCTGTCTTTAAACGGGGCTTTTCTTCTTTCTTACTTCTTGGCTTTTTCTTATTCTTCCGTAAACCATTCTCAATAAAACCAAAAATCTTCCTCTTTCTCTCCCTCAAGCCACTCATGTCCTCACCTCTGTCCTGTGTTGGGTTTTCTGGAAGCGCAGGTTCTCCTGGTTGTCTTTCTGCTGTGGCCTCCTTGCTCGTCTGTCACAGCTGCTGCTTTCTCTTTTTACTTCTTTTACTGTGTTGTGCAATTTTTCTGTCTTGACTTTTACCATGAGAGGGAGCTAAGATTGCAGTCCTGGCCACCCAACCCCAGCATCGGTCCCCAGGACCTGTCAAAGTCCGGAAGCCTCGCGTGAGGATCCCGTGCCTGGGGCCAGCGGCAGGCCCCCCGGTGGTCCCCGTGTGGATGGGCAGAAAGAGGAGAGACCGCCCTCTTGATCATAATCTCCTAGGTGCTGATTAACTGACGACATGTATGATTCCAGTTCTGCGCGCACTGTCTCGAGGCCCAGCAGGACTGCTGCTCCTTGTAAATGCCAAGGCATTTGGCTTTGGGACCTGACGACTCGGTCTGGGAGGATGGTGTTAACTGTGCTGGGTCCCCTGACTCAAGACAGTTTGCCAGTGGCTGGTCCTGTGTTGGAAACCAGCCTGCCCTCACTCTGCTGGGGAAGTGCCAGAGATTGGACACGTCTTCCCACTGTCTAGAGCGAGAGCAAGTGTACTGAGCCATCAAGCTCTTCTGGAAAGTGATGGCCGAGTCGACCCAGGACTTTCGTGAGCAGCCCCAGCTGCACCTGCTTTGCTACCCTTCACCAGCGTTCAAAACCAAATCCGACAGCCGATAGGACTGGCTGGGCGCGGGCTGGTCTCCACCCCAGCCCCAGGCAGCCCTGTCAAGCCAGCCCTGCTGCCCGACTTCATCTCCCTGCCCACAGGAACACCAAGCCCCCGCCGGCCTCCCTCGTTGAGTGTCCTTTGGAATCGTCGTTGTCATCTGCTGATGTTTGTTGAGCACACCTACAGCACAGCGCTGTAGATGGTACGAACCAGGACAGGCTGCTTAGATGAGCTGTACGGCTATGCCGAGGCTTCCTGCCTCATCTCACGTGGTGATTCCCTCCTCTCTCCCCAAAGATAAGGTCCTGACAGGGCCTTGCAGGGACTTGCACAGAAGAGTCGGGCTTTCCGGGGTCCTGTTTAGAACTCCCGGACTCTGTACTGCAGTGATGGGGAGTGGTTCTTGGTGGGCGCAGGAATGTTAGTGTCATTTGATGAGTTGGTCCTCTTTCTGACATCACAGTAGAAGCCGAATCTTGGATCATTATCCAGGAAAGGGGGAGATGGGTCCTTCCATCAAGGCAGGGCCCATTCTCTATGTCACTTGCATCAGAGATCAATTTTAATTTTCTAGAGACTTAGGGATTTGTTTCCTAACACTGTTGTAGACCCTTATGTCTCTGTCAGGATAAGGTGACTGAAAAGGAGGAACTACCCTTGGCTGCTTCCGATTACTCTTAGGAAGTGGGGCTGTTTTTGAAAGTAGGCGTCTCTCCCATCCTTCTCTGATGCCCCTCTGGGTGGCGAAGCAGAACTTGGTGAAAGGGTAGCATGGTGGTGGCCAGTGGCAGACCGTTCAGCCAGCAGCCCCTGCGCCTGCCCCAGCAGCCCAGGCACCAAAGGTTGTCTCCAGACCACGTTCTGGGCAGCGTGTCCCTGCCCCCCAGGTGGCTGCTTCCCCGGGTGAGCCCTATAAAACTGTGGAGTCTTGCCGTCAGCAAATACGTGCAACGTGTGTGCTGCGGGCTGGCCAGCTGCCGAGCAACAGCCCAAGGCCTGCCCTCCAGCAGCCTCCCTCCCCTGTGCACGGGTGTTCCAGGTGTTCGCTGCCACACAGACCACAGGCGTCGTGTCGTAAGCGTCCCGCAGGCTCCAGTACTGTGCTCGGTGTGCCTCAGGTGGCGCTGCCACCCCAGAGGCCAGGTCAATGTCGGCTGCTTCTTAAAGCACAGGGCTGAGAATGATGAGAGTAAGTCACATCTTTTCTGCTCTGTAAAAAGCCCCGAGACATGAGTAAGGCTAGGATCTCACTGGCTGGTCTTCAGGAATGATTTGAGGGAGCAGGGGATAGGGTCATTGGAGGGCGCTTTGTAACCCCACTGGCATCCCTGGCACGGTTCTTGCAGAGAGCGCCAAGTCTTTGGCAGGTTGGCTCAAACCATGTTGCCAGGGGTCAAAATAACTCAATTCTATTTCACCCTGTGAGCTTGTTGGGCTGGTTTGTCCTGATTTGGCCACTTTGACTGTTTGCAGTCTCAAACACCCTTCTGGTCCCAGCTATGCTAAGCCATCTGCGTAGGCCCTGACAGGCACCTCTAGGTTCGGGAGGTCAGCTCAGCAGCACCCACCCAGGGCAGGAGAACACGTGAATCTACCTCAGCGACCGCTGCCTCTCAATGTCTCTGATGGCACCAGCGTGGGGCAGCCCAGCAGACAGCAGTGGCAGGAGAGGGACAGGGAGGCCGTGCCGGTGGGACAGGAGGGTCCTGTGTCGCCGATTCCCCTCCTTGGAGGCTCACTGATGGGAAGGTTATTTTTACCATCCAGACTCTGAGAGCTGCACTATTAATAAGTTACATGTGTCCCTTCTGAAGGTAGGGGACAGTTCTGCGGGAGGGGGAGCAGGCCGGGCCAGGAGGAGCGCTGCTTCTCCCGTTCCAGTCAGTTCTCACCCTGTGTGTGTCTGGCCACCAGACCAAAACTGTTACCGAGAGAACCGTTTTCCGCTTTGTCTGAAGGCAGCAACATTTCAGAAACCAAACTAGCCCTCCGTGCTCTGACCGCCTCTGCATCCCTTGACTGGAACCCCTCGGACCCTGGAAACCCCTGAAGCCTGGGCTGCCAGTTCAAGGGGCGTGTGCTGCTCGGTTTTCTTGGGGGAACTTCATTACCTTTGACCTTTTTTCTAAGTGGTAAATAAAAAGTAGGGGCAGAGAGCACCACCCCCACCCAAGATTCCTGACAGGAAAGTATTCCTTGGCTGACTTTTTAATTCCATGTGGCTTGCTGACTGTGCAGCTGGGGAAGCTTGGGTTGGATTTTTTTCATAGGTTCAGCTTTCCCGAAGCCAGGTGGTTTTTCTGAGGCCTGGGTGAGAGAAGATGGTGGGGGGGCCGGGGGCACGACACGCCTCACTCCCCATGTAAGGGCCTCAGCACCACACATGAAGAGATTTCCAGTCCTGGTCTTCACAGGCCCGCCTTTTAGTGGAGAGTGCGCTGAAGGCTTGTGAGTTGGGACAACAGAGTGGTCTTTATTCCCCCCGCCCCCCACAGCCTTCCCAGCTCACAGCCCTGCTTGTCAGGAGGGACTTGGGCACGACTGGAGAGCTGGGTCATTATCAGATCCCTTGAAAGCTAAACAGAATTGCTCTCTGGCCCTTGGTTGGCCCAGTGAGGAGGCCTTTATTAACTTCTCACTCTTCACCCCCATTCTGTGAATATCAGTTCCCCCTCCCCAAAGGCTGAAAAAGACCTTCTTCCTGCCCCCATGTGCCCCTTAGCCTTTTCATGGAGGTCTTCGAAAAGCGCGGGGACAGGGGCCTCCTGGCTCTGTGCGGCCTCTGCGCGCGGCAACCTGTGTGAGCGTTTGTCATAAGCAGAGCAGATTCTTACTCTCTGTGTGAGAAGTGCCTTACTTGCCGTGTGGCCTTGGCCTTCACTGTTGTGTAGAGCCAGCTCCCAGCTGCCAGGGCACTAGGGCTGTTTGTCACATGCAGCCAAAGGCACTGGGCCCGGTACAGTTACATGTAAAAGGGACACCGATTGTGACAATTTCGCCTCATTTGTCTCAACTGCCCCCACACGCACCATCACATTAGGGTCTGTGGCGTGACCCCTGTTTTGTTTCAGGGTGCTCCCTGGAGTCAGTGCTCAGGCCTGCCGGGGTGGATGCGGAGGCCTGCGAAGGCCCATTGCAGCGCCGGTGCCTCGTGCCTGTAAAGGGAAGCTCAGAGGGCCAGGGCACTAAGCCCTGTTTGTGCCTCTGGCCCCAGCACGGTGAGCCCCGCTCTTCCAGCACCCCCTCACCATGATTATGAAAGGGTACCCTTGCTATAACCTCTTCTGATCTATTTTGCTTCCCATTCAACCCGAAGTCTATATGACAGTGGTGTCTACTTTCCAGTCACAAGTGTTAACTCACAGATACCCATTTAACAGTGGGTCTAGGTTGGCCAATGCAGAACTTCAAGCTTCCAGTTCAGTGTTACCTTGTGTTAGCAGCAGCTCCATCTCCCCGGCCCCAGCCCACCTGCCTTTCCCTTGCTCTTCCGGGTTGTGCAATAACCCTCCCGCCCAGTGGTCCTTCCACAGGCTTTGCTGTCCCTTCCAACACCCTGCAGTTGGGAAGGGAAGGGACCCATGGGAGGGGCAGCCATCACCCCCTACAGAAGAAATGTTAGCCACTCTCCCTGTGTTGCTTTTCTCATGATTCTGGGTAGGTTTCTGTGGCACTCTAGTAGAACATTGTAGCATCATCTTAAAAGTCCATATAATTTTTTTAAAATAATCTGTTGAAAAGGAAAAATAACTATCCTCATGATGGGGCATTAACAAGAGTAATAAGTCAGTGTCTGGGGATAAGATCTGTTGTGACACCCGAGGTGCCACCATCTCTCTGCCTGAAAGCATTCTAGAGTTTCTTGTTCACGTGGAGAGGAAGGAGAGCCACGTGTGGACAGCCCTGTCCACCGGACAGGGACTGCCCGTGATAAGTACCACCATTTCCTTGGGTACAGATTCAAGTGTTTATGTGCTGAGACTAAACCTCATTTTTCAGTTCTTCTTGTTTAATAAACATCTGAAGGATGAGCTGAGGCTGCTGGTGCCCTGAGCAACTCATAATGCAAATGTGGATAAAAAATGTCTTTTTGTTTTTCTACTTAGCCTGTTCATGTTATGGACCAAATTACAACAAGGAACTCAAGGAAAATTTGTACCTGCCGTATTTATGCTCATGTAAAAGGGGTTTTTTGTTGTTTTTTTTTTTGGGGGGGGGGCTTTTTACTTTCAGTGAACTTTTTTCAAAATCCTTTTTCCACTGTTTCTGTCTGGTTTGAAAACAAATTACAGTTTTGTATGGATTTTTTAAGTGTACATTTTGAAGCAAATGATCAGCAAATATTTTTGAAATAACTGAATAAAAGGCATAGAGTTATCAGTCTCATTGTTTCTGGTATAATTCCTTATATTCCTTTTTGATGTGGGTGCTTACCTTTGCTAGTACTTGAAAAAAATGTCAAGTATAATTTCTAATAGTTTTTACTATATCAGTCATTTCATGTATATCTTTTAAGATACATTTGTTAATTGCACTCATGTGACTTAGGGAGCTGGAATTGAGGATGGAGAGTTACACCAAATATTAGGTAATAACAAGCATCTTCTTTATTTGGGTCTATAACAGTAAAGAATAAAAGTGGAAAGGCGTTTTCTTGACATGGGGTTTTTGGGTTGGAAGCTCCACTAGGCTTGATGTCTACTGTATTATGAAGTCATTTGGCTAGAAGATGGGATTAAGTAAAAACCATCAACTATTTGTGCTGGTAATGAATAGATGTTCAAGCATCAGTAACAATGGTGGGCCGGGGGTGGGGGCAGTTGCTGGAGTCAGTCAGACGGCCTATTGCCTGCAGCTGTTTGCTGTGTTTTCCAGAACCATCTTCAGAGAGAGCTCAGGGATGGGTGCAGTTACAGGTGGCAGTTAGCCAAGGACACCCACAGCGAGTGAGGATTAAAAAGGAAACTTTCAGCTGTGGTGCCGGTGAGTGGCACTGGTGGAGGGCAAGCTTTGGTGCAGACTTAGGTGGTGGTCCTGCTCAGCTGTGAGAAGTTAGGTGACCTCGGGCAGTTAACCTTGCTGAGCCTGTTTGCTCACCTCTGTTCTGCAGTTGTGGAAGCTGGTTGTTTGCTTGCTTCCTTTTGCAGGGAGTGGTAGTGATTTAGGGATAGTGAGTGCTAAATTCATGGTACAAATAAAGCATTCAATAAATAAATTTTTTAAATGAACATACTCTTATGCATGTGCGAGCAGGATATTCGGGAGTCACTCGTCCAAGTGACTCTCGAATCTCTGGAAACGTTTAGAAATGTCCTCTACCTGTTCGTCCCAAGTACCCTCAAAGCCTATAGGTGAGCTTGATGAACCCCAATTAGATGTATGTTCAGGGCCCCCTGGTCGTGCAGACAGTACAGGGCTAGGGCCTGAGTAGTCGTGACTTGCAGGCAATGTACACACAAAGGCAGGTTTTACTAGCCCTAAATCTGTAAGCCACCTTAAACCATCTTACACACATCCCTCAGGTCTCATCGCCTCAGGTTCAAACGCAAATAGGGGGTGCTAATTCTTTCAGTCTCAACTCCCTGGTGGCCCAGGCAAAGGATGGTTATTTCTTCCCACAATATAGCTTACTGCAGGCTAATGCTCCGCTCTCCTCTGTCACGAGAGCCAGGACTCCAGATGCATGCCAGGTGTGACTATAGCATAAGGAAGCATAAATGACCCCTAATGGTTGCACTGCCATTCAGGGTCTCAGTGGGAAAACCGATTTGCTCTGACTTGCGGCTCCTGTACCTGGATGCCTTGCATAAACCAGCAGCAGTAAGCAGTGACTGTGGACACCACAGAAGTGACCTGCTGGCTCTGGTCATCTGTGAAGTCGCTTTTATACCTTGTGATGGTGCTGGCAGATCTGAACACCTCCATCTTGGGTAAGCATGGAAGATGAGGCTTGGACAGCAAGCTTAAGTCATGTGTGGGAATAGTGCCAATCTTATTCTGAGACACTTTTGTAAGAGACGGCTGACTTTTAAATCTTGGCACCCATTACAATGGAAAAGATAAAAGAAGAATAAAAGGGGAAAAGATGTCAGAACTGAGGTTAAAAGGGCTATGAGCACCTGGATCTCAAAGGATAGGCAAAAGGATACAAACTGAGACCTTCTCCCTGATGTCTCCCATTTTGGTTAAGGACAAAAATTGGCACGTATCTCCATACACTACGGATTGGGGCAGCTTCATGGAGGCTTGCTGAAGAGGGGCCCAAAGCTTTTGCAGACTCTGCCCTTCCATGGGAGGCCAGGGTGATGCGGACGTCACTGGGGAGCGTGGATTTCTGGAAAGGGTCCCTCAAAGTACTGTAGGTCCACAGGCGCAGTGATGGCAGTGCTTCAACAGACTCGGGGCTTGAGGTGTACCCCCTGGAGTTTGAAGAGCATGAGGTCTGGAGTGCCCGGTTCTCACCTAAAACAAGTCCCAAGGGAAGGTACTGGCTGGGCTGCCTGACTGCACAGCCCAGAGAGTGACACAGAGGGGAGCACTGGCAAGAGCGGCGCCCTGAAGGGCGAGCAGCCTGCGCGGCCGCTGGGGAGAGGGCCTCCTGGGAGGATGAGGAGCCCGGTGGGGGTGTACTGTTAGCGTTGGGTGGTCAGCTGGAGACAGAGCCATCTGTCTCAGAGAAAGGTGCCCCGGGAGAAGGGGCTCGCCTCTAGGGCCCTGACCCCTGCTTATGGCTTTGCCAGCCACCGCTGTAAGACTGGGCCCCTTTCCTCTGGTTTCTAGCCCTACCTCTCCAGACACCATAAAGACCAGAAACAGCGATATGGCTGCCCTGACAGACTATCGCCCCGACCCCACCCCGTACACACATACTACAGGCTTCCAAGCTTGGGGCAGGACTGAGCTGGGGCAGGCAGGATCGAGCTTTGTGTTTTTATTTTAGATGGAAACAGACTTTTAAATACTTGAAAATTAGACTTTTTAAATAGTTATGAGTGACTTCGGGAAAAAAAAAACAACAAGAACGGATTCTTTTTGATATAGCAACCTGAAGCAGAAAAGGGAGAGTCAGCACAATACATTTACAGGCCCTTTCATTAAGCGGGTTAGAGGTCTCTTGGCTCATTAGGAGAGGTCAAACCAAAGGAGGTTCCCGCTATTTCAGAGAGGGCCAGGCATCCTCCATCATAAGAAACTCCACCCTCATTTATGCCACTTTTTGGGTAGCAGGGAGGAACCTGAGACAACACTTATAAGGATGAAGTTGGTGGCTGACTTTAAGGAACAGCTCTGATTCCAGAAAGTCTGTCCAAGCTCATTAGAAAACCAGCAACTACTACAGGTCTTTTTTCCTATCTCAAGGTAGGCTGTCTAAAACTAGAGACTTCCTAATTTTTTTTTCTTTCTTTTTTTGTTTTAAACTACAAACCACATCAACAAATACATTTTACATAATAATCCAGTAAATACACACTCTGCTGAAATGAAGTTTCATGAAACAGTACATACTCTTTTATGTATGTGTACCACACTTGGATATTTTCTATTCTATTTCATTTTTTGAAAATTCAGATCTAATGGGCCTAGAACCACAGTTTGAAAAATATGTGGTGCATTTCCCAGTAATACTGGGGCAAGCACGCAGGTGGGGAGCGGGGGCATTGGCTTAGCAGCAGTCAGTACTGTGTGCTTATTTCCAAAACCCCAAATAGTGCTTCTAGCAAATTCTATCTTTTCTCCTGCTCTTAATCATCATACACCTGTATTAGTCAGGGTTCCCCAGAAAAACAGAACCAATAGGATATATGCATAAAGACAATGAGATTTATTATGAGGAATTTGTTCACGTGATCATGCAGGCTGACAAGTCCCAAGATCTGCAGGAGATCCGGCAAACTGGAGGAGGCTCATGGGAGCTGGTGGTGTAGCTCCAGTCTGAGGGCCAGCATGCTTGAGACCCAGGAGGAGCTAATACTTCAGGTTGTGTCAGAGGCAGGAAAAAGCTGATGCCAAGGTTTGAAGACAGGCAGGAAGAATTCACTCTCAGGGAAGCGTCAGCCTTTTTGTTCTATTTGGGCCTGCAATGAGTTGGATGAGGCCCACCAACACCGGGGAGGGCAGTCTGCTTTACTCAGTCTACCAGTTCAAATGTTAATCACACCCAGAAACACTCGCACAGACACCCAGAGTAATGTTGGGCCAAATATCTAGGTACCCCAACGTCCAGTCAACCTGACACAGAATGAACCATCACAACATCCCTACCCCTGCCTCCCTAAATAAGGAACCAATCTTAGCTCCTACAAGATCCAGTTTAATTTAGACTTCAGAAATATAAGAGCAAAGCTCTTTTCAAGAGCTCTGTAAATGCCTCTACAAAGAATACAAGGTATATTTCAAAGTGTAGATCCAACCTCAAAAAACTGCATTGCATTCTCTCATCAGCCAGGTCAGTCTGAGAAAGCACGAACAAAGTGATAGTAGTTGATCTTGTCTTCTCCGTGAGAGCACCTCCTGATTAGCTGTGGAAGAGAACGAGAGGAGGTGAGCGGACGCGCAGGGCTGCCTTCAGTGTAACTGCCGCAGGCACATGGCAACCACGGTCCCCGGCCTTTTGACACCAGTTCAGAGATTTTATGCTCTCAGCTGGTTCTGAAATGATCCTGTGGACCCAGTAGGTGGGTCAGATGTTATCCCCTCTTAGAGTAAATAAAATCAAACCTCAGGTGGAATAAATGGCCTGTCTGAGATTTCAGGACTAACATTTGCATTTATAAGGGCATTATAATTTTTAATTTTTTTTTAAAAAAAGGCACTTTAATTGTTTGTATATCCCAATACAAGACTTTGTCCACCCAGCCTGTGCGGGTTGCTGTCACCATGGTCTAATAGCAGGATCTAGTTAGGTCACTGCTCAGACCATGGTCTCTGGAACTCGGCTGCGAATGGCAGCGGAATGATTGGCTGTGGTTACCTCCTAAGACACGTGCAAATCCACCCCACCTCACCGTCCCTGTCCCACTTCCCACTGACTGCAAGTCCTCTCATGTCAGGTCCACACACAGTACTCATGACTTAAAAATCAAAATCCGGGTGTGCTGTCAGTCTGAGATTTGGGAAGCAAAATGGGCTTCAGCCCATGTGAACAAATACTCTCATATCTGCCTCCCTTACTCCATGCTAATGTTCCTGTCTACAAAATATCCTTGTCTCCAGCTCAGTCACTGTAGCCCTAAATTAAAGCCCTCCCTAAATGAATCTTAACTCTGAACATTCCTTTTTGCTAAAAGATCTTTAAGGTCTATAGCACCTCAGTGTTTTTAATCAATGAGAGTGTCTCTAATGGGAATGGGTCATTGGTGAGGTGGGAGAAATTTTGTCCGACTTCTGGGGGAACCTTGGCTAAAGGGATTTATAATGAAGCACCTTCTTCAGCTCACTCATGGAAATTCTAGAAGGAGAAGGTCCGTGTCACCACGTGACCCCTCCTGACAGACACCACTGTCCCTGGGCAGTGGTGATGCCTTCTCCATGCCAGTTCTATAGGTGGGCTAACAGGGCTAACATGCTTATATCTCTGTGAAGGGTGTCAAAGGCTGCCCACCAACCCATTAATCCAGTTGCCTCTGAGTTGCCTCTTGGCGGCTGCCCCTCCAGGACCATATCTCTCCAGCCTGTCGGGGCTGTCCAGTCCCATACTTCTAAAAGAGATGCCTTGCAACAGCAATTAGAAAAGAATACCAATGGCAGAACCAAGGGGAAGACCACAATCAGGGCTGAATAGGAGATCTGATTTGAACGTCCCAGATCTTCCCCCGTTAAAATATATATAACTTTCTCTAGGGAGGAATGAACAGTGCTCAGCCTCTGCAGTCAGCCTGCAAGAATAACTCACACTGACCTCCTTAATCAAGGAATCATCAGTTGGGACATTGAGAGAGCCACAGATTTTAAAGAACTCCTCCTTGTCCACATATCCTGATGCTTCCTTGTCACAGATTTGAAATGCCTCACGAATGTTGTCTCTGCATGGAAGATCTTTCAGTTGCTTCTGGATTGTGTCTATTAGTGCTTCCAGTTCTTGCACGCCTGGATCCACTTCAGCTTGTTTGCTGTAGAGAAAGGAAGGACATGACAGAACATGGGATTTATTCTTGACCAATCTTATCTCAGTGACCAAGGCTCTCACTTTGTGCAGCAGAGGAGCTTCTAATGACAAACAGCTTTGATGGTGAGCTGACCAGCTGCTGAACACTTACCTACCTGCAGTGGCTGGCTGGTGGGTGACCTCCACGTCAAGCCAGCCTGATCAAGGGCAGCGTTTGCACGGAAGCTCAGCCTCCCTTGCTGCCATCTGTTAAATCACTACCTCACCAAGAGCCAAATCTGACGCCACCACCATCCCAAGTTCCTTGTTTGTGGGAGGCTCATGATCTACATCACCTATGTTACATCCATGATCTACATCCATCCATCCATCCATCATCTAAAAATATATGTCTGAATTTAAAAAAATATTTATTGATAACTATGCAGTCAGGGACCTCTTGTACTTTTAACATTCCCTCTCCAGTTCTCCCTGAAGTTTGTGAAAGGTTATTTATGGAAGTTGAGAGACTGCTCTATGTGGTGGATTGAGAAGTTTAGGCTTAGCATTTGCTGAAATGAAGAGAGGTTAGTAACCCAGAGCATTAGGAAAGGGGAGGCGTACCCCTCAAATCACAGCCAGCATAGGCAGGAGCCCTATTTTTATTTCCTCTGAACATGAAGGTACAGTTATAAAATTAAAGAATTTTAGAGCTGGAAAAAACTCTCTGATGTTTCATCTTCACAAATCCATTTTCAAATAAATTCAGTAAGCACTCTTCCCTTTTTCAACAATGAGGAAAGTCTGGGGGACCTTGGTGCCTTACCCCCGGTCCCCTGTCAGGGGCCAGGCCAGAACCAGCATCTCACTCGAGTGCACGCATGTTCCTTCCAGGACGCCCGACCACCTCTCACTGGACAGGACTTCGCGTACCAGCCCACCACTGCTTTTTGTCCCTATTTTTTCTCGTGTATAATATTCAAATAGTCTACTGTTCCAAATAGCCTTTTATTTCTCTTTAACCTGGTGGCAACCCTTGCTGGAAGAGATATAAATTGTTTAACCTTTCAGGCACATTTTGAAAATATGAAGCAACAGCCTAGAAAAGGATTTCAAATAATTTATCCTAAGAAAGTCATCATGAGTTGTATAGAGAGCTGCTTTGAGACAGCCTAAATAAAAAAAAAAAAAATTGTCCTGAAATCAAGAATTGGTTAAATAATATACACTACAATCAGGCAATGTAGTAACAATGCAGCATTGACAATATTGCAGAATGAGTAGAAAGATATATTGTTAGCAAGAAAATCAAAGTGCAAAGGTGTATATAGAATGCTACCATTTGTGTAAAAGTTGAGCAGGAGTAAGAATATATGTTAAAATGTGCTTATATTATACAATGAAAATCTGCAAATGGATGGTAACAAGTAGGTAGAAGGAAGGTGGGGAAGATGAGGTAGGGGCAAAACTTTTCTTTGGTCCCTTCATATGTGTGTGTGTGTACATATATATCCCATATGAATATAATGTCTACTCAGAAAATTAAACTATCAGTATACCATAAAATATTTTATGATGACAGAAATGTTCATGTTACACTATCAGGTGAAAAAAGCTGATAAACAGTAGTAGAGAATTACTCCATTTTATATGCATATTAAATAAATTATTAGAATTAGTCACCTTTGGGTTTTAGGATTTTAAGAAATATTTTTGCTCATTTCTATTTGTATTTCCTAATTTTTACTACTTCAATATATATTTTTTTCTGCATGTGTTTTACTTTTGCAGTAAGACAAAAACAGTAAAGTTGTAATAAAAAATATCCCCAGTACCTAAATGCTGTCTGGAATTACTTACTATATAAGCAGGATATGTTTACCTGATGGGTTAATGCCAACATCTATACAAAATTATGAAAGACTGCCAGGGAACTATTTCAGTGTCAGAAAGCAGTCAAACCTCAATCTTCTGTCTCACCCCAGTTATAGAAGGGCCACGGCCCATAAAAATTTAAAATGTAGTCATCCAATCATTTGTGGGGAGAGAAGACAACTCTCCATTCCCCAAATGAACCAGGTACCCATACTGCTTCACACAACAAGGGAACTGGCCATGGCGTCTGCTGTTTTTGTGTAAGATGGAGTGAATGCAGAGAGCCTGCAACAGGCGATACTGTTTAAGACAGAGCGAGTTCGAGTTACAACCCCTACTTTATCGCAGGGGCCCGTCAGGAGAGCTGCAAGCCAAGGCTTGTCCCATGGGTTACCAGGAACACAGGGGCTGGCTGATTGTCCTTAACAGGAACTGCCCACTGAGGGAGGGTGTGCTCTGTGCCAAGCCCTCCAAAGCCCTACCTTTACTTTCTATAAAAGTGAATGTGATTTTATGGAGCGATTAATCTCCCATGGGTAAGAGAGACGTCATGGTTGTCGGTCTGTTCTTAGACTATTTTACTATGAGCACTCTGGCAAAGCCCTTCACTTAGCAAAAACTAAACAGAATTCATATATTTTCTTAAAAAGCAAATAGTCTGCCATCTTGTTATTTCCTTAGGTTTTTTTTTGGGGGGGGGGACAGTTTGGTGATGGGCATTCTTTGATACCAAAAATGTGTTAGAGATTTAAAGTGTGGTCATTTCAATTGCAAAGGTTCAGCAGTGACCCCTTGGCCTGACCTTAGCTCATGGTCCATGATCCCGGGCCTCCAGTCTGTCCCACTGAAGGTAAACCTACTCCCAGGGCAGGCAGTCACTTGTTCAGAGAGCTTCAGGTAGTTAGGAAGCTGAATTGAGAACATACCTTATTTCTTGGTGCTTTTCCCCAGCATGGCAGAATAAATTGTAGGTAAGAGCATGGGCTCTAGAATCTGATTTCCTGATGCAAAATCTCAGCCTTGCCACTTAAAGGCTGCATGATCTTGAGTAGATTACTTAACTGCCTTGTCTCAATTTCTTTATTCATAATATGGGAGTTTTCTTTTTAAGAGTTTATTTATTTTTAGAGGTAGGTAAGGGAGGGAGAAAGAGAGGGAGAGAAACATTGATGTGAGAGAGAAACATTGACTGGTTGCCTTTCCTACACATACCTATCAGGGACTGAACTGCAACCAAGGCATGTGCCCCGACTGCAAATCAAAATGGCTCCCTTTCCCTCCGTGGGCTGACGCCTGGCCAACTGAGCCACACTAGTCAGGGCTGTAATATGGAAGTCTCTAAGGACAGCCAACTCATAAAGATTGCTGTAAGAATTAAATGAGTTATTGCATATAAAGCACTTAATGCCTGACACAGCAGACACACTCAATGTCAGCTGCTAAAGTTCTTTTGACAGTCCTAGTATCAGTATTCATTCACTCAGCTAACAACTACTGTATGTATTGAATATGTATGGCTCAGTGTTAGCTTTTGAATAAACTGTTGAGTACAACAAGGAACGTGTCTCTAGTAAGAATCTCTGCTCTCCAGAGTTAAGACACAGACTTTAAAACCACTGACAAGGGGAGAAAATGACCATTCCATTTAAGAGAGGTGCAAACAATGAGAGGATCAGGAAGGACCACACTAGGAAATGGCATACAACCTGGGCCTTGAAGGATGTGAGAGTTTGGACCATCAGAATAAAATAAAGAAACAGTAGACAATGCAAAGAGCCTATGAAAAGGCATAAATGCCTGAGGTTAACATAATAAACCTGTTTGTCTGGAGTGCAAAGTATATAGAAAGGTAAGCTAGAACTCTAAGGTAGATGGTTATTTGGAGCCATGCTATATAGGATGTAGCAAAAGCATTTCCAAGAAAAAAGCTTATAGCAATAAATGCCCACATTAAGAAATAATACAGATCTCAAGTTAATGACCTAACTTTATACCTTAAGGAACTAGAAAAAGAAGAAAAAACTAAGTCCATAGTTAGCAGAAGGAAGCAAATAATAAAATCAGAGCATAAATAAATGAAATAAATTATAGAAAAGTGATAGAAAAGATCAAGAAAATTAAGAGCCTTTTTTTTTAAAGATAAACAAAACTGACATACTTTTAGCTACACTAATTGAGAAAAAGAGGGAAGACTCAAAAATAGAAGACATTAAAACTGGTAATCAAAGGAATACAAGGATCACAAGAGACTACTATGAATAATTATGCATCAACAAATTGGATAACCTGAAAAAAACAGATAAATTTTTAGAAGTAAACCAAACAAACAATTCATTGAAACATACAACACACAAAGACTGAATCATCAAGAAATAGAAAATCTGAACAAACCAATTGAATCAGTAACCAAAAATCTCCCAACAAAGAAAATCCAGGACCAGGTGGCTTCACTGGTGAATTCTACCAACATTTAAAAATTAATACCAATCCTTCTCAAACTCTTCCAAAAAAGTGAAGTGGAGGGAACGCTCCTAAATTATTATAATAATACAAGGCCAGCATTACTGTAAAGCCAGACAAAGACGCTACAAGAAAAGAAAATTCAGGCCAGTATTCTTGGTGAACATAGATGCAAAAATCCTCAACATAATACCAGCAAACCAAATTTGACAATACATTAAAAGGATCATACACTATGATCAAGTAGGATTTATCCTTTGTATCAAAGATGGTTCAACATACCAAAATCAATAAATGCAATATATCACATTAATAGAATGAAGGATAAAAATCATGATTATCTCAGGCACATAAAAAACATTTGACAAAATCTATCATCTTTTCATGATAAAAGCTCTCAAAAAATTAGATATAGAAGGAACGCACTTCAACACTATGAACACCACATATGACAGGTTCACAACTAAGACCATATCTCACAGTGAACAAGACAAGGATGCTCACTCTCACCACTTCTATTCAACACAGACCCAGCCATCAGAGCAATTAGGCAAGAAAAAGAAGTAAAAAATATCCAAATAGGAAAGGGAAAAATCTGTTTTATCCGTTTGCCAATGACATGATCTTATATAGAGAAAATCCAACTTCTGGCTAAGATGGAGGCATAGGTAGATACACTTTGCTTCCTCA